GCCCTCTGAGGGAGAGATGGCTTCGACTTCAAGATCGGGTCCAGTACAATCAGTCGTGTCGAAGGTGTCCAAGCTGGTGAAAAAATCGTCCTCCGCTAAGCCTTCAACTTCAACTTCGACGTCCGCTTTGCCTGCTCCTGCTGCTTCGGGGTCAAAGTCCTCCAAGCGCCCTAAGGGCAGGGCTTCCGCGAAATCGAAACAGGCTCCTCTTCACTTGTCTCCTATTTCGGAGTCGATCCCTTCCCCGATGCTCGATGAGTCTTCGAGGGATTTGGAGACTTTGTCGGAGGTGGCCGCTTCGCTTCCTCCTCCACAACTTGAGACTGCCGGCGGGAATACCTTCCCCGACGCCAAGCCAGCTGCTTGGAGTCACCACAGGCTTGGTTTCTGCCCCACATAGCCCAGTTCCTTCGGGCCAGGGGTCTTCTGCTCGGTCGCCCGCGTCGGCACGCTCGAGATCGAAATCTCCTCGAGACGACCGCCCTTCTAAGGAGAGACACCGCTCCTCGAGTCGGTCACCTTCCACCGACCGCTCGAGATCGAGATCGCCTCGGCGAAAGCGGTCCTCCAAAAAGAAACGTCGAACATCGACTCGTTCTGACTCCTCACACCGCTCGGGCTCGAGAGCGTCCAAACGTAAACGCTCGTCGAGGAAGAAGCACAGGTCGTCTCGGCGTCGAGGAAAACATCGACACCGATCATCTTCCTCCTGCTCTGCAGACTCGGAAAGACCGAGGGGCCGCAAACGTCGTCGACGTCGACGCGACTACTCCCCGTCTGATTCTTCGTCCTCTACATCTTTTTCCCGAGGTCGACACTATAAGAAGATCAGATACGTTTATGTTTCTTCGTCTTCTGAGTCGCCGCACCCTCGGCGTCGACGTCGAACTCGACATGTCGGAGTCGAATGCCCAACCTTGCCGATGGCTGCTCCGATGCAGCCGTTACTGGTGGCACCGCCAACACAGCCGGTTCCGTCGACGTCGGCTTCGACGATCCCTCCACAACAACCTCCTCCAGCACCAGTAGAGGCCACAAAATTGCCTCCCAAGAAAAAGAGGGATGTCTTCTCTTCCGACCCTGATGGGGTGTCTTCTGATGTTTCCTCTGACTCTGATCAGGAGCAACCTACTCCTCCTCCTCCGAGTGCGCTACCACAGGGAGATGTTGTCGGCTCTGATACAGGGGACACACACGCTTCCTCTCCTTCCGAAGACTTCTCCTCCTACTCCCAAATGCTCACTAGACTAGCTAAGACTCTCAAATTGGATCTTGACCTGCCACCCCCTCCTGGGGAAGACCTCATATTTGGAGACATTAAGAAGGACAGAACTGCTCCTCCTAGCATGGCTTTGGTTTCCGTTGTCATGGAGGCTATTAAGGAGTTCTGGGAACAACCCTCAAACACTCCTCCTGTCCCTCGCCGTACAGAACATTTCTACCGTGTTCATGGACCTGACACTAAGTTCTTGCTAAAACACCCCATTCCAAATTCCTTGATAGTGGAGACAAGTTGCTCCAGACCATCGGCTAAATCCCATGTCACACCAGTAGACAAAGAAGGGAAGAAACTTGAAATCATTGGGAGAAAGATATACTCTCTCATTACCCTTCTGCTACGGGACATTAACTATTAGACAGCCCTAGGGGCGTACCAGAAGCAACTTTGGTTAAAAACATTACCGGGACTCAAACTTATACCAGAGGAATTTCGGCAGAGTTTCCTCAATACATATGAGGAGGCTCAGACAGTTTCCAAGCATGAGCGCCTGTCTACTCGCCACGCTGCTGAAATTGCCTCCAGAGTACTTATGTCTGCAGTCACATTGAGAAGACATGCCTGGTTACGCTCAGCAGACATCCTAGAAGATGTCAAGGCTAAGGTGGAAAACCTGGCCTTTGATGCTACTGGCCTGTTCAATGAGAAAACTGACTCACACTTGGAGGATCTCCATAAGGCAAAGAAAACTGCCAAATCCTATTCGATCCAGGCCCAACCTCGACAAAGGAGGTTCCAGTGGAGGAGATCTTATTCTCAATATCAGCAGTCCTCCCAACAATACCGACCTTACAAACACTTACCACAGCAACGCTCCAGTCATTCTTCCTCTTCTGCTCCCAGCTTCAGAACTCGGCAGGCACAACGTCGCCAGTCCTTTAAAGCTCCTGGAAGGAAAGCAAAACAGTACCTTTGACTTCAGGCCACCCGCCTTAACCCATACCTCACCCACCACCCGCCTCCAACCGTACCTGCACAATTGGTCCGCTATCACAAAGGACACTTGGGTTCTAAAGATCATCCAATTCGGTTACCAACTGGAGTTTATAAAATCTCCTCCATTAGGTTTTGTAAGTCACACAGCTTTTGATCCCATACTAGAAGACGAAGTCCTATCCCTCTTACAAAAGGACGCTATCCATTCAGTCTCACCACACGACATAGAAAACGGGTTTTATTCCCGATACTTTGCCGTGGAGAAAAGAGGCAGCGGCATAAGACCTATACTAGACCTGAGGCTCTTGAACACTTACCTGCGTTCCAGACGGTTTCGAATGGTGACCTTAGAATCCATCCTCCACTTGTTGAGTACAGACAACTGGTTCGTCCTCGTAGACCTGAAGGACGCATACTTCCATGTTTCCATCCATCCCGATCACCGCAAATATCTTCGGTTCATCTTTCAGGACACGATTTACCAGTTTCAAGCTCTGCCATTCGGCCTTTCCACAGCTCCCAGGACCTTTACCAAGGTGATGGCTCCAGTAGCTGCCTATCTTCGCCTCAACGGCATCCACGTCTATCCATATATCGACGATTGGCTAGTGGTTTCTCCCTCGAAGGCGCGAGCCCTAAAAGACGGTCTCACAGTCAACAAAGAAAAATCACACCTTGCTCCGTCCAAGACAATTCAGTACATAGGAGCATGCCTAGACGCCAACTTGGGCCGTGTCTTCCTTCCCATCGAGAGGATCCACAAAATAAAAAGAGCCATCACAAAGTTCCACCCCCACGGACGTGTCACGGCACATCATGTACAACACCTCCTCGGCCTTATGTCATCCACTACTGCAGCCCTCGCACACGCACGGCTCAAGCTACGGTCACTCCAGTCATGGTATCTGTCTCTCTTCAATCCTCTACTACACTCCCAGAACAAGCGCCTTCGTGTCACCCCAGAATTGGTCAAGCAACTCCAGTGGTGGACTTACACCCCTCATCTTATGGTGGGTCGTCCCTTCTGTCCGCTCAGACTGTCTGTCCAAGTAACGACGGATGCCAGCCCATCAGGATGGGGGGCACACTGCGAACAACACGACATTCATGCCCTTTGGACACCACAGGAGGCGAACCTTCACATAAACCACTTGGAGTTGCTAGCTGTCATCAAGGCCTTCCGATCCTTTCTCCCCCTAGTGCAGGGCCGTGGCGTCCAGCTAGTCACGGACAACACCACCATGATGCACTATGTCAACAAACAAGGGGGAACCAGATCCCAGTCACTTCTGTATCTTACCATTCACCTCTGGGAATGGTGTTACCAACATCATGTTTACCCGGTTGCCATCCATGTGGCCACGGAAGACAACTTTCTAGCAGACACCTTGAGTCGTCTCCAATACCAAACACACAAATGGGAACTGAACCCTCTTGCCTTCCAGAATCTTTGTCGCAAATGGGGTCAACCGGTACTGGACGTTTTTGCATCTCCTCAAAATGCGAAGTGTGCCAGGTACGCGTCGAGAGCCGGCAGGGGTCGGAATTCCCTCGGAGACGCCTTCATGATTCCTTGGAATCAGGGATTGCTCTACATGTTTCCACCTCTTCCCTTGATTCAGAGATCCTTGGTAAGACTCCGTCGTGCTCCAGTGGGAGCAATTTTCATAGCACCATTCTGGCCTCGACAAGTATGGTTTCCCACATTGGTCAAGATGGCTACAGCGTACGAGAGGCTTCCTTTGTGGCCCACTCTACTAACCCAGGACGACGGCAAGATCCTCCATCCAGACCTGGAGACACTCCATCTAACAGCATGGAGGATCTCCCCGGGGTCAAAGAGATCTTGGATAATGCAGTAAAGCCTTCTACATCTCGGCTATACAGCTATAAGTGGAGAAGTTTTTTGAATTTCACTCAACAAAGGGAGTTGCTACCTTCCCCAGCCTCTCTGTCTACACTGTTGCAGTTTCTTCGCTACCTTTTTGATTTTGGACTTTCCCTCTCCACCATCAAAGTCTATCTGGCGGCTATTGTTTTCTTCCAGCCAAAGGATTCCCCTTCCTCACGTTTGTTCTCACACCCTACAGTTAGAGCCTTCTTGAAAGGACTCTCTCATCTGCGGCCGCCCACTCGTCCTCCGATCCCACAATGGTCGTTAAATTTGGTTCTACATACCCTTTCTAGGCCCCCCTTCGAACCAATGGCCACCTGTGATCTCAAGATGCTTTCTCTCAAAACCTTGTTCTTGGTGGCCATAACATCTGCCAGGAGGGCTAGCGAACTGGCTGCACTTCGCTCCGACCAGCCTTTCCTTCAGTTTTTCAAGGACAAGGTCATGCTTTATTTGGATGTTTCCTTCCTCCCCAAGGTGGTATCGGACTTTCACGTGAACCAGCCGCTCATACTTCCTACGTTATTCCCATCTCCGACTAACGACATCGAGCGCATGCTCCACATGCTTGATGTTCGAAGATCCTTGGCCTTCTATGTCTCCAGAACCAAGGACTTTAGGAAGGCTAACAGACTTTTCCTCTGTTTCTTCGGGACCAAAAAGGGTTCTCCAGCATCGCCTTCAACGCTCTCTCGTTGGCTCGTCTCTACCATTACACTTTCCTATGAGTTGAATCATAGAGAACCTCCAGAAGGACTCAGAGCCCATTCTACCCGGGCAATAGCCTCATCCACTGCCCTACTCCGTGGCGTCGACCTTCCAGACATCTGTCGGTCCACTACGTGGTCCAACGCCTCCACCTTTATCACCCACTATAGGCTGGACCT